TGTACTATTCGGTCATAGTCTTCTAAAATCTTCATATCCCATTACCGAAATAGCTGCTCCCGTATCAAACAACATGGATATCATTTTCCCGTTTATATTAAACCACACTTTCGGACTCGGAAGGTATACTTTTTCCTCTCTACCCTCTTCCCTCAACATTTTCATAACTCTTTCTCGCCTCCGCTCTCCCCTCCTTGGCCTGAATTCTATTTTCCTCACCATCATATAGTCATCCCCTGTCGCAATCTCTTGCCAAATGCTCTTCTTCACGGCGCTTGAAACATATAATTTTGCAATCTACCCCCATTTCACCTTTTGTTGAAATCTCGGCCATACTCCTCACATTAATAGCATTCGAACTCTCTCCTCTTTAAGGAAATCCTCCTCTGGTCCATTCTTCCCACTCTGCAATCATTCTCCGCATGTCCAAATCTTCCACATCCAGCGCATCTTAATCTCTCTCTTTTACCCGGACAATACGTCGAAATGTGACCACCTTGGCCACACTCAAAACATTTAATGTCCCTACAGTTTATGGCTATATGCTCTTTTAACCCACATTTATAACATACCATATTTCTATTTCTCGGACCTTCCGTCCTAAACGACCTCATCAATTCTCCTCGACCTCTATATATTCCTATTCTTCCATCTTCAATTCCTTTTTTCCTTACCGCTCCATTTTAAATCTTCATTACTTGCCCATCCCTGCAACATTTCCTGCACGGGCAACCACGTAACCCTACCATATCTATCTTCTTCCCCGTTATGTCCTTCAATCAATAACGTCTGCCCCCGTATCCTAATACTTCTATTCCGGCGTTTTCTCCTGCCGAAATATAAACTACCTAACCAAATCAGCAATACCTCTATCGCTCCTAATATATTATTTAGTTAATTTAAAACCCTTCATTTCACTTAAGGAAAAAATTTTTAATCAAATTAATGAAACAAAATCTATCTAAATTAACTTAAAAATATTTCTAAATTAATTAATTTATATTAACTATTTTAACAAGATAAAATATATCTCAAAATATTACCTACAAAAAGTTAATAATTAACTTAACTAAAAAAATCTTAACTATCTGAAGAGTTAAACAATATGATACAATTAATAAAATTAATACCGAAATAACACAACAGTACATCTAAACCTTTTATACTCCTCTGTAACCCAAATTACAATTTTTCCTATCCCTGTTAATAATTCCGGTACTCTACCAAATTTTTCTCAAAAAAAAATATTCCACAGAACCCCTGTGACTTTAACAACAACCACGGTATTCTACCGAATTTTCCTCAAAAAAAAAATATTCCACAGAACCCCTGTGACTTTAACAACAACCACGGTATTCTACCGAATTTTCCTCAAAAAAAAATATTCCACAGAACCCCTGTGACTTTAACAACAACCACGGTACTCTACCGAATTTTCCTCAAAAAAAAATATTCCACAGAACCCCTGTGCCTTTAAAATATAAATTCAATACCACAGTTAATCTACTGTGCCCTTAACAAATGTTAAGTTTTTCCTTTTTATTTTTTATACCTAAAAAAAAATTATACATAAATATAAAAAATAAAACTTACCTTTTATTTTTTTAATGACCTTTCCTAACGAATTGAACTGTCCCTTTCCAGAATATATTTATTTTACTTTTATTTTTCTTAAAACAAATTGACACCGAAACTTTAATTAGTCTATTTATTTTTTTCTTAAACAAAAATTATATTTTTAACAAAATTATTAAAAATCAAAAAAAATTAAAATTACAATTTCAGAAAAAATTAAAAATTATTCCAAAAATTAAAAAATTAAAAATTATATTTTTTTTAACTAAAAAAAAATATCCTCGATTCACCATGAGTCTTCTTTTTCTTAAAACAAAATGATTCCGCGTATGTTATATTATCAATCCGCGCTAACAAAAATAAAAAATAATTTCATGACAAAAAAAATAAACACCAAAAATAAATAATATCATGACATATTCTATATGCCTACTTACTTTGTATAAAGAAATCTCATATACTTATTTACACTTAAAAATATTTTTAGGAAGAGGCCAATTAGAAGAGGCATAGTATTTAAAAATAATGAGATTTTGAACTCAGTAACTTACAATATTAAAATTTTCAATCAATGACATATGTCATTGTTTTCAATTATTAATGATTATATTTATTTAATTAGGATTTTATAATAATTTAAATAATAAATGTCAGTTAAGCTTCAACTGTTAAGGTTAAATATATATTTAGTTAGTGATAATAATATTCTATTTTTAATAAAGTTAATTGAAAAGCTGACATAATGAAAATATAATTTATATGTATTAATATAATCTAATAATTAAAATAGTATTCATTTAATAAAAATTTAGATAGTCTTATTATTTTTAATTAATAAAATTAAATCTATATATTACTTAATAGAAATATAAAAGAAATCGCTCAGGGGGCAATCAAAAAAATTTATTTTTAGTTCAAAGCAAATATTAAGGAGCTATTAAAAAAAATTTATTGCTTCAGGGGGCTATTCAAATTTTTCAGGGGGCTCGAGTCACTGCGCGCCCTCCCCTAGTGACGTCACTGTAATTAACCAATCGGAAAAGAGGCGCGATAAAATAAAAGCTACTAGTGATAAAGAAATTGTAGATTAGAATCCTATACTACAGGTTACATAAGGAAGGGATAATTGCATAAATGACAGGAGAAATATTTAGATGTTTGAAACTTCTCCTAAATAGAATTTACATTTTTTGGAAATCGAATGGTAGCAAATTAAGAATTTATCTAAAGACCAAGGTACAGGCGCGTACGCAGGAATTTGGTCTGGGGGGGGATAATAAATTTTTTTAAGAAATATTATTGTTTCTTAAAAATATCAAACATAAATTTATTAGAACTTATAACTATTTCTAATATACAATTTTAAATTAATGTGAATTATAAAAAAATTCTATGTATTAATCGTCATAGAAAAAACTATAAAATAAATGTGAATTTAAAAATATTAAACGGATATAACTGGCGGTATAGAAAAACTATAAAATATATGTGAATTATAAAATATAAAGTGAATATAACCACTATATGAATCACATCACCCAAAATAGAAATTTGAATTTTTTGAGTCTTTAAAATTTATATATATAAAAAATTTAAATGTTGGAAATATAAATTAATACACAAAATTTTATAAGGAATAATTGTATTTTGTATGTTATATTACATGTAAAATCAATAAATGTTGGAAATATAAATTAATACACAAAAAGTTTATATGGAATAATTGTATTTTGTATGTTATATTACATGTAAAATCCATGTAAAATCCAATCTTCGTTGGGAGCTAATTTTTCAATTATCTCATCCGTTCTTGTCGTCATATGCCTATGAATATTCAAAAGATCCAAACCTTTAATCTAATTTCAGAAGTTGTACTTCTTGGTATGTTTTTGAGCCGAACCGTATTTTAATTTTTTAAATATACCCGGGCCGGGCCCGAAATTTTTTAAAAAAAAACACCCGGGCAGGTCCTGAAAATTTTTTTATCCGGGCCAGGTTGTATATTTTTAAACAGCCTATATTTTAAATCGTTATTTAGCTATAAAAATCAAAAAAAAAAATCCGGACCGGGCTTGAAAATTTTATTTTAAAAAATCCAGGGCGGGTCTGAAAATTTAAAAAAAAACCGAACCGGGGTGTGAAAAATTAAAAAAAAAATACGTGCGTGCCCTGCAAATGGTACTTCTGCAGGACTTTGTTATTCTTCTTAAAAAAGAAAATGTTCTCTCATTAGTTTACTAATGGGAAGAGTTGCTAATATATATAAACCCTTTTAATATTGGGAATATAATTTAAAATGTGTTTGAAATGCAAAGCTTCCGTAGAATTTTTGGGACTATATCAACCATAGTTAATTTTATAAACATAGTTATTCAGCTAATAAGGCATCATAAGATATTTTAACATTTTCATGATAAAAATCTAACAAATATTTACTTTCTATCACCTGAAAAAGGTTGGTAAGACTTTTGTGGAAGTAATATCTGCAGGTTGGTAAGTGCTGCATGATGAATTAAAAACTATTCATTTATTTGGGTTATAAATATATCTTAGAGAGGGGACATTTGTTTTATAATACTCTTCTACAGAACCTATATTGTTTTAACGATGAGCTTGCCTAGCTATAAGTCGAGGGAGATAAACACGTATAGCTCTGCTTTTGACTCAATAATAACATATAAAATATGAAATTCTTAATCAATATTAGCCTAATTTCTATGCTTTCCGCTATTCTCATCTTATTAATCTAGTTAATGTCATGTTTTTGAAAAGTATTACATATAGTTGTACAATTAAATATTACATTCTAATGAGGAAAAAAATTTGGAATAAGCATTGAATCCAATAATTTTCTTGCTTCTGAGGAAATATTTCTTTCAGGTCATTGTGATATTTTAGTAATAGCATATAATCGACTCTTCTAACTCCATAAATGTTACTGCTTGATGGCCAAGACTATCTCTTTTGACAAGCTTGCAATTTCTCTCCCTATTGGACAAGGAGTTTCAGAAATAATTATTATTTGACATGAAATTTGAAAATGGTAGATAAATATTACGCCACTAAAAATTTGAAAATAATAAGTAAATATCATGCCGGAAAACTTGAAATCGAAATTAGTCGATAAAATAACTTAGTAGATGAATGTGATAAATAAATGTAATTAAATATTTAATATGAGATAGGAATAAATATTAATAAATATAAATTAATATAAACAATAATATTTTAGAAAAATAAATCCGGCATCTGCATTTATTGGCATTGGGGGGGGATTGTCCCTTGTCCTCTCCCGCTGCTTACGCGCCTGCCAAGGTACAGATGTATAACCATTTAAGTCCAATATCAGATTAATAATTAGCGGAACCCTGGATGTTTGGTATTTGGGCCCTCATAGAACGGCTAATAAATTAATTAATCGTTGCATGCCTGCCTCGCACGCCAGCCTCGCACACCAGCCTCGCACGCCAGCCTCGCACGCCTGCCTCGCACGCCTGCCTTGCACGCCTGCCTCGCACGCCTGCCTCGCACGCCTGCCTCGCACGCCTGCCTCGCACGCCTGCCTCGCACGCCTGCCTCGCACGCCTGCCTCGCACGCCTGCCTCGCACGCCTGCCTCGCACGCCTGCCTCGCACGCCTGCCTCGCACGCCTGCCTCGCACGCCTGCCTCGCACGCCTGCCTCGCACGCCTGCCTCGCACGCCAGCCTCGCACACCAGCCTCGCACGCCAGCCTCGCACGCCTGCCTCGCACGCCTGCCTCGCACGCCTGCCTCGCACGCCTGCCTCGCACGCCTGCCTCGCACGCCTGCCTCGCACGCCTGCCTCGCACGCCTGCCTCGCACGCCTGCCTCGCACGCCTGCCTCGCACGCCTGCCTCGCACGCCTGCCTCGCACGCCTGCCTCGCACGCCTGCCTCGCACGCCTGCCTCGCACGCCTGCCTCGCACGCCTGCCTTACACGCCTGCCTTGTATGCCTGCCTCACATGCCTGCCTTTGCATGCCTGCCTTTGCATGCCTGCCTTTGCATGCCTGCCTTAACAATATATTCATTTGAGACTATATCTTCCTTTGAAATCACATATTTAGTATTTTATAATATTAATAATAAACAAATAAAAGCAATCAGCTAATTTCAAATGGACTTATTTATATTGAGTATCATTTTTATAATATAATTTTTTAATCCTATTAATAAATTCTATAATTTTGCATATCAATTGCTGACATGAGATCAAGAAATTTGCTCTGAACTTGCCAATCCTTCCATTTTGATGGTATAGAAAATTAATTGATCAGCTGTCATTGTCTGTAATGCTATATTAAGATCAAGTATGTGGAAGACACAATCTAAGGTAATACAAAAACGATTTTATTATTTTTATTTTAAACGCTAAGGATATTCGAAAATCAGATCGTAAACATATTCCAACCATTTTTGATACTAATGATGAAGATATATCTGACAAAGATTTGGAGGCTGAATTGGAAGCTCTGATTAATCCAACTATCAATATGAACAGGAAACAAAATATAAGTATTAAATATTATACATATTTAGTTCTTATATATAGGTATTGTTGATTCAAAACACATTATCAATGAAATTATGAATTTTAATTATGAACAGTATCAAGTTGAAGAGTCAAAATTATCAGATAATAGTGACATTGAAAAAGATTTAGAATTACTGGTATTTTTTTGTGAATAATTATAAATTTATTGTTGATTTATAATTTAAATAAATGTGGATATATAATTAGGAAATCAATTTTTTAAAAAAAATTATACTTGTTTAGAATGAATTAGATGAAATTATGGGTTCAAAAATTACCAAAGATCATATAGTAGCTGATGGTGTACAAATCAATGAGCCTTGTTCATCTCCATTAAAACGCCTTCATCAATCTGAATTAATGAAAATACATGATGAGTTGTTTGATAGTGACAAAGATTTAAATTCCAAAGCAGATAATAACATAAATATAACTGAAATTATGCAAATAGTTGAAGATAGAATTAAAAATTATTATGAAGTTTTGCAAACAGCAAATTACAACAAGGATTTGTCAAAATCTCGTAGAATTAAAAGGGGGTTATGCACATTAGACAAGATGAAAAATGATATTTTAAGAGTTCAAGCATCCCCTACAATTAGTTTGAGTTTTACCATTAGTACCATACCACCATTAATTTCTAAGTGTAAAAGTGCCAAAATTATTGAATCTGAAAATGATTTTAATTTTAAAGATCAATATTCTGTAATCAAAGAAGAGACCATTCAAAATGCCAATATTCCAAATTTTATCAATACACATCAGAATCAAACAAAACAAAATTATGAAAAAAATGATTTAATCCATAATTTACCTCTTTTTCAGTTAGAAAATAACAATCTTTTGAAAGATTCAAATGATAATGAAAATATTGGAAATAGATGTTTAAAACCCATGGATGGTAATACTTGTAAACAAAATGAAAGCTCTTCTCTTTCAAACCTACCTTCAAATAAAGCTAATGAAAAAAGTCTTGAAATAGGTAAATTGTTAAATGGTTGGTTATATATACAAATAATATGCTTATGAGATTAACACTTAAAGAGAGTTAAGTTGTAGTCATTAAATGGAATAGTATTGTAATTTATAATGATTATTATGGCAATTATATACCTTATTTAGTCACCTACCAAAGTTTATAATAATTTTTTGAGCTTATCCTATATATAAACAATATTTAATATTACAATTTTTTTAATCTAATTCTTTTTAAACTATTTGTTTTTAGAAAAATTCATAAGTTTATTAACATATCGTCAATCAGAATTCAAGGAACAAGCCATAATTGCCAAAGGAAATCAAGATTTAATAACAGCAAAAATATTTTTGGAAATTTATAAAGTAAATTTCTATCTAAATATAGAAAAAAACTAGAGATTCACTTATACAACTTTTTTAAGTTAGTGCCTAAACTGTTGTCACCAATTAGTGATCTGCATGAGTGAAGTGTTTTATTAAATAAGTAAAATAGGTAAAGTAAGTCAAAGTATATTTAATACAAAATATCACGTATATATATATCAGAGACCTGCAGAGGTACCATTTGCACGGCCCGGCCTGGCCCGGTTTTAAAATTTTTAAGCCCGGTCCGGCCCGGATATTTTTTAAAAAAATTTTTTACGGCCCGGCCCGGCCCAGATTAAAAAATTTAAGGCCCGGCCCTGCCCTGATATTTTTTTAAAAAATTTTTTACGGCCCGGCCCGGATTTTAAAATTTAAGGCCCGGATATAAGTATATTTCATATTTTATTCAGATATTTAATTACAAATTGATACTATAAAAAATTTGTGCAAATAATATTTTTGAATATAAAAGATTCTATTTGTGATTTTTAATTTTTATTTAAAAAATACATGTAAAAAGCTAATATTTTGAGAATATTATATTAAATTTATAAAAATTATAAAACTGTTATTTATAAAAATGGATATTTTGAGCATATACTATATTTTATATTGCATTTAAAATAAAACTAATATTCATAAAAATGGTAATAATATTTTGAGCATATACTATATTTTATATTGCATTTAAAAATAATAAAACTAATATATAATTTATAAAAATGGAAAATATTTTGACAATATAATATATTGTATTTAATTTACTATTTAATTTATAAAGTAAAAATAAATCGCTATTTAAAAAAATGCATGTATAATAAATAGTATTTTGAAAATATAATCAAATTGCACAAATTAATATAATTTATTTAATAATATAAATTTTTAACAAAAGAAGATAATTGTATTATATAATATATTGTAAAAAAAATAATAAAAAACTTTCATGACTCAAGGTAAAATATAATAAATGCAATAAATATTTGACAGTTTGCAAAGTAAAAAACCAGCATGATTGACGAAACCCTATACTCAAGAAAGATATTAAAAATTCACAAATTATCATGAAGAAAGAGAAGCATATCTACCTTTTCAGGTTGAAGATTACTTCTTCTTTCTTCAAGAATTCTTCCAGTAGTGGAAAAATTCCGCTCAGAGCTTGCACTTGAAGCAGGAATAGCCAATACCCGTTTTGCCAATTTTGCTACTTTTTAAATGTGATGTACCATGGTTATAATTATAAGATAATAAATTTGAACAATTTATGCATTGCACATAGCCAATATTTTTTTTATTATTATTATCTATTATTATTTTAAATTTAGACCAAATTTCAGATTTTAAAGTATTATTAGTATTTTTAAAAGAATAAATATTATTTTTAATTTTGTCAATTATATCTTTAGTGTTTTGTGCCATGATATTCCTTTTATTGATTGTTTTGGAAATATTCTAAAAATTTAGATATGAATTATAAGATTTATATTTAATATTAATTTTTACTTTAGCTTCTTGAATGCTTAAAATTGATTGATTGAGTATCACTAATTCTAATGATAATAAATATTAATTAATTATTTATATCTTACATTGATTATAAATATCTAATATCAATATTTATTAAATAATGTAGATTGAAATTATTATATTTATTTATTATAATAAATTTAAACTGAATATTATAGTTATAAGAAAAAGTATGTTATTAAAATTTTATATTATTTACAAAAAGATTCAATCTAATTTGAAATAGATTTTATAAACTAATATATGAAGCTAAAAAATATCAATGTACATTTTTATTTAAAGAGAATAATTCAAAAGAATTTTTTATTACTTAAATCTGTTTATGGGATATATCCACTTCTAAACTATTCTTCTAACACAACTGTTCTAAGTCTAACTTTTCTAACAAAATTTGATAATGATTAGTGGAGCATTGCAATTCTAGATAATAACATATATTAAGTAATTTAAAATATATTTATAATAATTATACATACTGTTCTAAGTCTAACTTCTAAGTTTTCTAACACAATTTGGGAGCACTGAAATTTTAGATATTAAAATATATTAAGTAATTTAAAATGGAGTTTTCCGGTATCTTTCAGGAAATTAATAATTAGATCGATCTGTGGGTGTTAGGTAGTGTTAACCATCACCCAATATTATATTAATCATAACTATAATATAATATAATCTTATAACCAATAACTCATAATGTAAAATTTTTTATAAAAAATATTAAGGCCCGGCCCGGCCCGGGTTTAAAAATCTTAGGCACGGCCCGGCCCGGCCCGGATATATTTAAAAAAATTTTTAGACCCGGCCCGGATAAAATTTTTTAGGTCCGGCCCGGCCCGGGTATATTTAAAAAATTTAAAATACGGCCGGGCCGGGCTTAGGGCCGGGCTTGCAGGTCTCTGATATATATAATGAATTCAATCCTTCAGGTTATGTAATTTACAAACGAAAAGTTAATATTATATTCAATTTAAATTAAATTTACAATTACATTTATATTACAGTTCTCCCCACTATAAATTGAATTCATTGTGATAACGTAGTGGGGGTTTCGAAACTCTTTTTTCAAGAGTTGTATTCTCATGTTCTGCCTTTTCCACTTCTTCGGTCAAGGTAACGGGCGACGATTTTTAGAGAAGATTTATTTGATTTATTAAATTTAAAGTAAAAGACTCAATGGAAGTAGTTCCTATTAAAATTAAAGACTCAATGGAAGTAGTTCCTATTAAATTCCATATTCCAGAATTCGTCAAAGAAAAAGTAAATATTCAGGACTACATATTTAACTTGGAGTTAATTTATAAAGTAAGAAATATTATAGATTTAAATACAAAAAAAGACCTGCTTTTAGCCTATATCGGAACAGACAATCTTATCAAAATTAAGAACTTTCACTTTCCAATAAATTTAGAGATGATAAATTATGATACTTTAATAAAAAGCTTAAATTTGGTGTTCAAGGATAGTTCGAGCATTTTCGTAAATAGGAAAATTTTTTTTACGTTAAAAAGATGCAGTGAGACGATTATTGACTTTTCAATTAGGGTTAAAACTGTCTGTTCTCTTTGTAATTTTAAACCGCCTTTTGATGAACTTTTAAGAGATATATTTATCCTAGGAGTAGGCTTACCTGAGTTGGACAAAAAACTTCAGTCAAAGTATATCGAAGGCAATATTACCTTTGAAGAGACCGTGCGTTTACGATCTCGCGCTCTCTTTGTTGGAAAATGAAACCCAGACTGAAGTTAATAAAATAATTAAAAATAAGCCAACAGGGTTCGAAAAATAATTATTTTAGAAATAATAATTATACAAACGTCAATAGATTCAAAAATAATAAACACTTTAGTAATAATTATATTCCAATATTAATTATAGACCTAGTATCAAACCTAATTCTATTCAAAAGAAAGTGATATGCTTTCGTTGCCGTAAGGCAAACCACATAGCGAAAGATTGTAGAACCCATGCCATACAAATGATTCTTCCACGGACACCTCGCCTGTCATTTTCAAATAAAGCAACCATCAATGCGAAGATAAATGGGTTTGGGAATTCGCTTTGATGAGAAGCCCACCACTCTAACAAATTATCCACCTTAAATATTTCATCTGTTTTTTTGTTTATATAATTATAATATTCATCATCGGGTATTGAGATATTACCAGAATTACCATCGCCCCATTTGTCATAAAACGACTCAGTTTGTTTAACAACAGTCGTAATTTGACTGGTCGATGGTATTTCATTTACTTCCTGAGCCTCTTGTGATTTAATATAATCTTTTATATAGTTTTCCGCCATCTTGCGATCTGTCCCTGACAACATACGTAATTGTTTGAATTTGGGACAGAGAAAAAGAGAAATAAAATGATACTTGTGTAAAACAAATTTTTCAATTAAAAAATGCTTTATATTAAGTAATATCAATTTTATTTCTCTTTTTTCGCTTTGAAAGGTATTACAAACTTCAAGAAGTTCATAATACCATATTACCACTTTAAAAAGAGTACAAGAGTCCGACTGTAACTCAACAATAGCTCTGTTAAAATTCTCAAGAATGTTGACTAGATCCTGAAGGATCGGAAAGTCTATAATATAATACTTTTCCGATCCCCCATGTTCTAGAAGAACTTTTTTAATTTCTTCATTTTGAGAATAAACAGAATTGAGCATATTGTACTTAGAGTTCCAGCGGACTTCTATATCTTGATAAAGGGCTTTTAAATGCTGGCATTTATTACTTTGTTTTAAATGCCCCACTAATATTTTAGTATTATCTATTGTTGATTTTATTAATGGGGCATTACTTTCCAAATATTTGGAGTTAAATGAATTTCTTAAAATTGTATTTAATAAATGACAAGAACAATTTAATCGTTCATTTAACTCCAATGCTTTTATAATATTTTTACCTTGGTCTGTAACAAAAATTATATTAATAAAATCGTTATTGTTAAAACTAAAATTATGAAAATTTTTTAATAGTTCATCCTTAACTACTTGGCTAGTCTTAGACACTTCTTTAAATTTAGCGGTAAATAGGTTTCTCTTCACTAACTTCCAGTCATCTGATATATAGTGCATGTTAACTGTTATAAACGAGTTCTTTTTATGGTCATCGCACCATATATCAGTGGAAGCAGCCATAAATCGATTCTTGATTACTGGGGCAATAGTATCAACCAAAATGCTTCTTATTTTATTACATTTTTCTTTAAGGTGGCGTGATAGAGTGGTGGGATGTGAAATTAATGAGTTGATATCTATTTTACCATATGTTGCCCCAACATCGACTAGAGCCTGGCTGAATTCAAGAAACCCATTCCCAGCTATCATTTCGAAAGGTCTAATATCTTTTGCGCAAAGTGTTAAGGAATGATCTATAAATTTTTGTTTTAAATATTTCATATTACATTTATAAGTGGGTTTTTCAGGTGTAAAAAAAATTGTTAATTTTCATAGATTTACCA